AATTCTATTAATATTTGGTGGGAAAGGATTAGGTTACCAGGGAATACCTTTTCCATTAGTTGTTTGACGTTGCAACGAAGATTTGAGTTCTTGAATCACCTTTCACATTTATGTAGCAGGTAATCCTTAACTTTTACCACCAGCAGCTAATCCTCCACATATCATTTAGATATCTCACTGAAAGTTCAATTCGAGTAGAAGATTATATGAAATGGAAGCTCAAACTTGGTGTGCAGAGTAGGAATCATTTCAATTGAACTCAAAATGCATAATTGCATATATAACATGCCCATGGATGATATAATATATAATGAGGTGCAGCATCAAATTGAATGAATGATATTGTACTACAAATATGGTAAATGCCGCTGATGCACTATGTGGTTTCAAAACTTTCCATGAAGGCTAACTGCTAACAGTATCAGCCGAATTTAGCAATCTGAATAATCTGATTCATATTCTGAAAGCAGATTACAATCTGAATCATCTGATTCTCCATTTTTGAACCCATTGTCATTGAGTTCATTACAAACATCCTTAATCAATCCTCCTCAACAACAGAATCTCTGTTTCTCTTGCACAAGCCCCTGCTCCTATCCAGCAACCCTTCCTTCATCATACTTGCAAACTTTTCCCTGTTGTCAACAAGGGGGTATTTCTGGTTTAGTTGATGACAGTTTGGGTGTATCACTTCTTAGATATGTAGAATATGCCAGGATGGCGTTCAAACACCTTTGTGAACGTCTGTGGCAAAGCCAGCCCAGGATAGGAGTTTCAAGCCAACATGATCGGGTATGTGAACCAAAGAAAAACAATCTGAGTGATGGGGAATCAAGGAATGAAGGTAATCAAATGGCAAACCAATGACCCAATTTAGCTGGTCAATTGTTTGTAGAGGAAGAGTCCCATCTTTGGTGAGCATGAGCAGCTTGCAAAGATACATCTCACAATCAAGAACATGAAATTCATCAATTAGGAGTCAAGTGGAAACAAATACCGAGTTCTTCTTGATGGGGATCTAGTGCATTAGAAGTCAATTGGAACCAGGGAACACTAGTGCCTCCGCTGTCAAGAACATGAAATTCATCAAAATTTGTGGGATATCTCCTCATAAAGGTGGAAACCTTAAGATCTTTGGTGGGAGAGGTGGTAAACTGGGAGACAACAACGAGGATTTGAGGATATTATGGAAACAAGGATGCTGGCAGCTCTTACATCCCTATCACCTGCCAGAATGGCATCCAATTCCCTATCTTGCACCCCATTTTAACATAAGATTAAATCTAGAAGAGCAAGAGCTGAATGGCTTTCTGCTGGCAATTGAATCCCATATCACATCAATACAGAAAATGAGAGCATCCTGCCCTACTCCACAACCACCAAACCATTTTAGATGATGATCAACATACCCCTGTTAGATGATAAAAATTGGTTTGGAAGTGAGATACCACTTCAATGTACTCTAATATTTAAAGTTAGGAAAGTCAAGATTGCAATGGATATAGCTGGAGAACATTAAGCATGCAGACTATGTTAGGATCCACTTATAAATTATATTCAAATGATCAACCTACAACTTTGCAAAGATTTCCAACTGTATTTAAGGATAAAACAGATCGCATCTATTTTTCTAGAATTTCTTTTCCACTTTATACTAAGTTCCACGGTGCTTGGCTGGGTATCAACCGAACAACAAGTACTCACTGAAGTATGTATGAAATGTGTATATACAACAAACCTTCCACATTGGTCTACAACAGTGCAATAAATTCGTCTTTTTCTGTTTATGATGGATTTTACATCTTCATCATGCAATAAATTTCCTCTACATGAAAATTAAATATATTGCTCTGTACCATAGTGCACTAGTAAAAACTCACAAGAGGGCATAGTAATCAAAATTGCAATCTAGATCACACAATCTTGCAATCCAAAGTATACTACTATTGATCATTCCAACAGTGCTGCACAATGGGATTACCTAAGAGCAAAGCATAGTGTTTGGGAAGACAGCTACTAATTTCTGTAATTTAATTCACTTGTAAATAATAAGAGTGGCGGTTTCAACATCAAATGCTAATAATTATGTTGCTACTGTTGGATCCGATCACTACTATGCTCTGGTGTTAGATGCTTCCCCTATCAACAAGAAGCCTAGCAAAATGCGAAGTCATTATTGTCATGGAAGCTTGGGATAACAAATTTCATGATTCTAATCTATTTTAATTCTCCAAAAAATGTCTAAGAGTTGGAAGCATAAATTGATCAAGTGGGCCAGAAATCAGAGTTGGAACTCCAGACAGAAAATATAGGCAATGGAAGTTCAGCTTTTCTCTTTGAAAGAGGATACAACGCACCAATTGTGATGCTACCAAAATGAAACAACTTGAAAATGAGCTTCATAATTAATGGAGTGAAGAAGAAGTTTATTGGAAGCAAAAATCCAGATTTCAGTTGTTGCAGCTCAGAGACAGAAATTCAAAAAATAAAAAATAAAAATCATGCAACTAGTACTATTAGAAGAAGGAGAAGAATACTCATATGCCACACAAATATTGTTCTTATTCCTACAAGTAGAATATGCAACTTTAGTTGGCTATTATTGCCTTATTTCTTTGCGTAATGTGTCTTATAAGATCATTTCAAAATATCAATAGGCGCCAATCAGTCCTTATCTCTATTATTAGAGAAGATCAAAGTGCCTCTGTTGCTGGAAGGCAAATAAGTAATAGTATCTCTAGTTGGCCATGAACTGCTCCATTTTATGAAGAACAAAAGATTGAGTAAACAAGCTTTTATGGCCCTTAAACTTGATCTTAGAAACTAGGTTTCCCACTGTATGTGTCAGTATGCCTTGAGGTCCAAGGAGTTTAGAGTTTTAGAATCCTCTTTTCCAGGTAGTGCCTTGAGGTCGAAGTGTTTAGACAAGACTAGATTTATGTAAAAGAATGTTTTACCATGAAAGTTGAAACAAAGGAAATATTTACAATCTGTGTTCAGTTAATTTGGGACAATTAATCATCTTAAAAAGCAAAACTACAAAAAGACCAAGGTGCCTTTTAATGTAGGTCTGATCGATTCATTAACAGCCTCAATATGAAGTATGAACAGTAACAGGACGAACCCATACACAAAGAGGGGTTGAGGGGATCCAGACCTGGTTTACTGGAATGCTGAATCCAACAGAATAAACCTGCTTGTACCTTCACTATAGCAGTCATCCATGATACTGGTCATATGTTTAGCCTTTCCCAATGGTCATACCCTTCCAATCTTGAAAGCCGTTTTCAATTCCACCATGTCCTCTTCCAGAAGCTGCCAATCGGACTTTATCTTCTCAGCCCCACATTACTTTTTCTCAGCCACGAGTTTCTGAATTAGTTCAGCAAACTCTTCTCTCTCCAAATGATCGCGTCTCCATGCCAACATTACAGAAGTGTCAAGCTAAGTGTATAACAGCCAAATAGCCCGGCATAAAGGAGAGATCAAAGTGTTCGTTAGATGTGAAGATCTTTTCTACATATAAAATAAGGAAGAAAAAGGAAAAACTCATAGAGAATGATTGGAACATATGGCAGGCAACGTTAGCATCCAACCTCTCCCTTATGGCCTTATTATCCCTTGGCAAAGCCAGCCCCTATTCAATAGGTGAGACTCACTTGATTGATGGTCTTTAAAGCAGAATCATCCACTGTGACCATGCACTTAGGAAGGATGAACCTCGGTGCCAAGGTTAAGCAGAGACCTGTTATCCAGAAATTGTCACAATCTGGATTTTTTTTTTTTTTTTTTTCTTCAGTAACTACAATTTTCCTAAATTTGAAGGATATTTGGGAGTAGTCTGGGTGTTTCATAAATATGACAAAAAAAATAAAAGTTCAGTTAATTCAATAGAAAAGTCAGAGCAATTTAAAATTTCCAACAGCAATCATGGTATGGGAAATTGTACAAACAGGAGATAATAATACTTTCAATACCACTACATCAATTCCAAAATAAAGAAAAATTGAAACTTCCAGCATCAATACTAGATATCTATACTATATGCTAAAAACTTGTTTTCTTGTTGAAAAGATCACAAAACTTAATCTTTTTCCCCTTGATCTCAACAACAGGAGGAATGCTGCAAAATAATCAAATTCCAGGAAAGGAATAACCTTGCCATGGAAATTGGTCATTATGATGAATCATTTCAATTTGTGCATTTGACATATTAACAAGGTTGAACGCTTCTACAGAAACCAAAAGGACAACAAGAGGGAAAAAAAGATGCACAAACAAGCTTAGGGAAAAAAAAGATGCACAAACACCCACTTGTGCGCGCACACAACTTCTCTCTTAAGTTTAAATATTCTTTCAACAAAAATAAGAGTTGCTCTATCCAAAAAACCTTGGTGCAGAGCATGTTCAAAGTCCATTCACTATGGAGACTGTGCTTCAATATTCTGAATACAATCTAGCACAGTTGCACTCATGTGGGGCTCAAATACTTCTGATACATAATGCCAGAAATGAAAAACTAAATTATTGTAACACATTAAAAAATGAAAACCGTGAAGTCCAAATGGTCATTCCATATATAAGAATCACTATAAATTTAATCCCAGCTTGTTTTCCCAAAGCTCCTTAAGATTATTGGTCCATTTAGATATCCTTCATGGACTCACGGTAACATCTTCCGGTTGATCTATAGATTCAGTTCTTCAACTAAAATGGTTAACTTTATGAGAAAAACCAGATCTGAGATACAATCAAAGTCAGATGCAGTACTTCTAAAATAAATCTCTTCTCCTAGTTCTCTCTCCTCCATCAAAACAAGTTGTTTCCTGCTACCTCATGATGCTAAAGACAATCATCACAAACTCATCTTGTAAAAGATTACTCCCAAATTCTATTAATATTTGGCGGGATAGGATTAGGTTACCAGGGAATACCTTTTCCATTAGTTGTCTCACGTTGCGGCTGAGATTTGAGCTAACTGCTAAAAGCATCTGCTGAATTTAGCAAGGATCATCTATGGTTTCATCTGATTCATATTCTGAAAGAAAATTACAATCTGAATCATCTGATTCTCCTTCATTTTTGAATCCATTGTCACTGAGTTCATTACTACAAACATTCCTAAATCGATCCTCCTCAACAACAGCATCTCTGTTTCTCTTGTATAAGCCCCTGCTCCTATCCAGAAACCCTTCCTTCATCATACTTTCAAACTTTTCCCTGTTGTCAACAAGGGGGTGTCTCTGGATTAGTTGATGACGGTCGTAAGCTTCCCTAAGAACAACAGTTTGGGTGTCACACTTCCTAGAAATGTAGAATATGCCAGGATGGCGTTCGAACACATTCGTGAACTTCTGTGGCAAGGCCAGTGGTTTACGGAGATTGCTCACATTCTTGCGCTCTGTTTTCTTTTGTATGGTGAGGTGGAGAAGCTCATGAAAGACACCAACAATTCTCTTCTCAGGTACATCTGTACGTGGATCTAAGTGAGAGGCATCTGAATAAGGAGAAGTATAAGGGAGCCTCCGCCACTCTTCTAACCACTCCATGCATTTTCTCTTCAGTCCGAAACCCCTTGTGAATCCAATTGGAAATGCTAAGCTGCCATTTTCAACATCTTTTTCCCTTTGCTGCAAAGCAGCACTCTTTTCCAATTGAGACACAGCAAGGTCTCAAGGTTAACATCCCGGGATAGGAGTTTCTAGCCAACACGATTATCAGGTAGGTGAATCAAAGAAACTATATCTGGGTGATGGGGAATCAATGAATGAGGGTAATCAAATGGCAAACCAATGTCCCATTTTAGCTGGTCAATCGTTTGTAGAGGAAGAATCCTATCTTTGGTGAGCATGAGCAGCTTGCGGAGCCTGTCAAGAAGATCCATCTCACAATTTTGGTAGATACCGAGTTCTTCTTGATGGAGATCTAGTGCTTTAGGAGTCAAGCGGAACCAGGGAACTCTAGTACCTCCACTGTCACGAACATGAAACTCATCGAAAATAGTGGGATATCTCCTCATAAAAGTGGAAATCTTAAGATCGTGGGGGAGACTGAGTTGCCCTCTTGGGTGGGAGAGGTGGTAAACTGGGAGGCAACAATGAGGATTCGCAGATATTATGGAAACAAGAATGCTGGCAGCTCTTAGATCCCTGTCACCTACCACAACAGCATCCAATACCCTATCTTTCACCCATTTTAACTTTACATTCACCAGATTGGCTTTCTGCTCGTGATTAAATCCCATCTCACATCCATAGAGCAAACGAGAGCATCCTGTCCTACTCCACAACCACCGAACCATTTTAGATCGACGATGATCAACATAACCCTGTTACATGACGAAAATTGTTCTGGAAGTAAGATACCACTTCAATGTACTCCAATATTTAAAATTCAGTAATGTCAGATAGCAATGTATATAGCAAGGAAGAATTAAGCAAACAAATTATGTTATAAATTGTAATGAAATGATCAACCTACAAATTATGTTATAAAAGCAATCAAATCTGAAAGCAAAAGTCGTAAATTAACTCAATAATACAAACCCGGAGGGTGTATTTCTCAAGCCCATTCGAAAATCAAATTATGAATATCTTTTCAAGGACAAACATTCATTTTGATTATAAACATAAATACTCAATAATCAACCAAATTATAAAGACGTGGTGTAAAGTCAAAATCTCCAATTAGATAGAAAGCTCTAAACATAAAGACAATTGTATAACCCAGAAATGCACCGAGGAGAATCACACAAACGTCTTTTGTTGACATCAGAGACCCATTGAATTAATAAAGGGTGTATCAAAAAGATAAAAGCAAACACATTTGCAAAGGTTGGTTCTTCAACTTCAAGGGAACAGAGTAGAGTTCAAAAAAAAAGGAGACACACATTCAATTCTTGGAGTAAAACCACGTTTCCAAATCATTATGAACAAAACTAAAATTTGTCTAAACAATCACACGATGGAGAACAAAAATTGAGCCCGTAAATGAATAAATGAAACCCACATAAAAAAAAAACTTGGAAATCGAGCACGATTTGCTTCTCAGAAACATTTGGAAACATATGTAACTCTCAAAATTGAAGCTGTCAATTTGAATAATCAACCAAAATAAATAAATAAAAACTTCAGCCAAACAAACAAAATCAACAATATAATCGAAATCGACGCCCTGACCTTTCTGCTGTGTCAATCGATGCCTTCGATGGTGAGGGAGGACGGTTCGAAGCCAGAGAGAGAGAGAGAGAGCGAGAGAGAGAGAGAGGGGAGTATACTGGGTTGGGCTTTGAAGTTATGTTGGGCTGGGCTTTGAAGTTCGAGGTTTGACCAAACCAGGTTAGGTTAACCATGCTGCTATTCTTTACCACACAGCTTATACTTGTCACCAATCAATACCCTACGAGGCTACGACCCTTCTCACTGAACAATATAAATTTTTTTTCGGAAAAACTCTTAAATTAACTTTTTAAACTTGCCATTATATTTTTACAACTTGTAACACTTTGTTTATGGAATATGGTTTTGTGTTTTTGTTTTTAAAAATTTTACATTAAATAGATATTATCAAACAATCTTTTGATTACTAATCAAAAACTTTACAACAAAATATTTATTTTTCTTTGAATTAAAAATAAATAAATAAATAAATAAATAAATAAAAACAAACAAACCTTATCAAATATGTCCTAAGTTTTCATTTTGGCAATGTTGTTGCCCTGATTAAAAAGATAACATGTGGACTCAACGGTGCTGCTTTGTGAATTAATCATAATAAAGTCCGAAATACCCCAATTACCCGAGAACATGAAGAAGTGAAAGCCCAGAAAAATTCCCCAATTACATTGAAGGCCTCATCCATTTAACTTTGCTTTTTGTGAAGGGAGTCAAACTCACATTGGAATCTTTCAAAAAGGCCAAAACCATGCTTTGTTAGAGATAAAAGGAGCAATAAATCAAAAGGTCCAAGGGTAAAAAGGGTAAACCCACATGTGGCTGACAGAAACCTTACACAAGTCCTATGTACTAAACAAAGTGAGCGAGTGGTTGTACTATGTGAAAGGCAGCATCTGCTGATGTAGGCTGGACCAATGGCATCACACCATGTCATTTAGGAGAAGGGATTTGCTTATACTTTAACATAATATCATTGGTCTACTTAACTGAATCTGTAGTGCCATCCACACTGGATTGTGGCATACTTATATTACTAAGTACCCCTCATTATTTGGCGGTGATATTTAAACTCAGTTTGTTTGGACGTAAAATATTTTGTATCTATCAATTTTCAGCATGTTATTTTACATATCCATTCAGATAGACTCGACGTAAACCTTTATTAAATACCGATAAAGTAAAAATAAAATAATATTTTATTTAAAAAAGAAAAATATTTTTAAAAAATAATATTTAACTTCAAAACAAATGGAGCCTAAATGTCACTAATTATTTTATGGGAATGTTGAAATTTTGTAAAGTGGGACCAATATTATGATATTTGTTGAATAAAATTAAATAAAAAGACATTTAAAACCTCAAAAGGTGTCAATGTAAACTAGTGCATTGACTGTCTACTGAGTGGCATTGACCCAAACATCAAGGGGTGTCAGTGCAATTTACCCAAAAAAAATATATTTCTATTACTATAGCAATATTAATCCAAAAAAAAAAAAATTATTACTAGTATTAGCCCACCCCATTGACAATTTCTAAATTCGCAAAAACAAACAATTCACCTAGTGGTATAACCTTTTCATCTTGAAAAAAGCAAAGAAGGAATTCGGATTTGTGTATGAGTAAAAGGGTGTTTTTGCTTTACCTAGGGGTGACAAATTACAACACGAACACGACATAAATTAAAAGGGTCTGAGTTTGGGTTTGGCATAAACGGGTTTTGGTCATAAAAGAGTTAACACGATTAACCTGTTTACTTAACCGTGTTGGGTTAAGGTTAAAGAGTTAAACCCGTGTAACCCGTTTATGACCCATTTAACTCAACATGTTATAATCGTGAATATGACTTATGTAATATGTTATATGTTTAAACTCAATTGTTATAGATAGTTAAGTCATTTCAACATAAATATTGTCTATGGCTTATAATTTTTCTTTTTATTTTGAATATTTGGGTTAATTATGACAATTTTTTCTATTATTTAGTATTTGATTAAATATTATATGTCTCGTTTTGATAAACAGCTTAAAACATTTACCTATTTAATAAACGGGTTGGGTTAGTGTTTAAGATTCATGACACGATTATTAAATGGGTTGGATTTGGTTTTACCAATTTAATATAATACCCTTATATCGACACGACCCACAAACACAAGTTGCCACTCCTAGCTTTATCATTCGAAAAAAAAAAAAAAAAAAAGAGAGCTTTTGCCGTTGGTACATGTTTTATTTTTTATGCTTTTCTTTTTGTCGGATACTATAATAGTAAACAGTGCAAAAATTATATTTGGTAAAAAATGTTTTAGTTTGTAGACTGCAAAAACGTTTCATGAATTGATCAAAAGTCAAAACACCAATTTAATGTTTTTACATGTTTCCTTAGTGTAATAACTCATAGCAATGAACAGTATTTTTTTTTGAAAACCTCTCTTATCTCACCTTGTTTACTAAATATGTTTTTGCTTTCAAAATTTTTAATTACGAAACGTGTTTTTAATTACTAATCAAAATACTTTACAATAAAATATTTATTTTGCTTTGAATTAATAAAAATAAAAAAACAAAACCCTTACCAAACATGTCCTAAGTTTTCACTTTGGCAATGTTGTTGCCCTGATTAAAAACGGTAACATGTGATAGGCTTCGTGGACTAAACGGTGCTGCATTCCTAGCACTAGTGTGCTTGAACCAAACCAAGCACTTGTTCCATGTCAGAATAGTTTGATATATATAATAATATGCTTCGATCCCAAGGATTAAAGTCCACATGAAGACCATGTACCCTAAACTCCTATATAGGGTACATATTAGATGTGTTCAGAGCGCATGTCGTTTGGTTGAGAGTTCGAATTATTTTAAGGTCATCTCTAAAACTTTTTTCCTAAGAATTTTCTTACTTATAACTATAGGTATGAAATATGAATGTATTCAACTCATTTGATTTGAAAAAACAAAAAAATTCTCAATTTTAACTTTATTTTGAGAAACAAAAAAAGTTAAAATATATATATATATATATATATATATATATATATATATATATATATATAATCTAGTCCTTCCTTTCATATAACTTTACTTGTTTCACTTCTTATTGTCCAGATAATTTCAAATACCTCTCATTATTCTTACCAAAAATTGGGATGCATTACCTTTTGATTTAAATTTTGTTTTAACAAAACTATATATATATTTTTGTTTTTTGTTTTTTTTTTATGAATGAAACCAAGGGCAAACCTGAATGCCTAAACCGAAGGGATTGACTTAGTTAAAAAAAATTTGAACTATGAGTGTATCACTTACCATTAAGTTTTGGTTTGGATTCCCGAGTGTAAATAATTTATTAAAACTCACGCATTTAGATGTATAATTCCAATTTTACCCGTGTGGACCTTACACATTGAGGGTCTCATCCATTGAATCTTTATTTTCTGTGAGAGTCAAAACTCGCATGGGAATCTTTCAACTACAGAATTAATTAATCAATCAGGGCCAAAACCAATGCTTTTGTTAAAGATAAAAGGGCCAAAACGCAATAAATCAAAAGGTCAAAAGGGTTAAGCCACGTTATGCGGCTGGCAGAAACCGTACACAAATCCGAATATATACTAAACAAAGTGAGTGGTTGTACTGTGTGAAAGGCACCACCTGCTGATGTAGACTGGACCAATGGCATCACACCATCTCATCTAGGAGAAGGGATTTGCTTGAGGGTTAACATAATATCATTTGGTGTACTTAGGTGAATCTGTAGTGCCATCCACACTGGATTGTGGTATGCTTTAATTACAATGTCACCCATTATTATATGGGAATGTTGAAATTTTTGTTAAGTGGAACCAACTGTTACTTGTTAGTGATAAATTTGGATGTAGCAATTGGTGCATGAGTTGACTCCATGGATTTTTCATTTTTTATATATATATATATATTTTTTTTCTAAGGAGATTAGAAAATTTTGCCATCTTGAAGTTTTTCCTGTTAAAAAAAAAATTCCTAGATAATTGTGGTTTGCGAATTTATTAAATAAAAATAAATGGCCTCTTTGATTTGTAATTTTAAAAATAAT